TAAATGGACTTTTAGAGTAATTAGTTTCTGAAATATAGCTACTATCTCAAATACTCAGTTAATTATAAATCATTACATGACAAGATAACCCAAAACTTAATAATAAAGCCCCAACGAAATTACCAATATCCAATCTTGCTCGGGCAGTAGCCTTTGTAGCACAACTTACCTTAACGACATCATATCTGAGCACGTCATTTAACTAGCATGTCGTATATATTAGTGAATTGATGTTTAATAATTGTAGTGGTAGTTACGCAACATTGCTCCCTCATCAGAATTTTAACTGGGATAGAATTCGATGAAAGGATACCATTGGTTGCCGTATTTTTGAAAGTCCAGGAGAGCTGTATTACATTCACCGGATTTTGAGCGCTTGTGATGAGAAGATGTATAAGGTTCACGATTGTGTGCGTGGGCTCTCCTGTGTGCAGGAACCCGTTATATGTAAATGGGTACTTGCGTGCTAATGCTATTGCAGCAGAAGTTGCGCTAATGCGCCAATAAAGAGCAATCCTGTTGCTCTCACTCAGTTATCTTTTGAATTCCTTGTTGTTTGCATCATTTGGAATCTTATTTATCCGAGTTCATATGGCGACAGCATCAGGTGAAAGAAAATAGAACATTTGTTTTGAATCTAGGTTAAACTCTATATTGGCCCATTTTCCTCCGAAATCCGATTGACTACTTTGATTTTTAAATAAAGTGTTTCGAATTTTGAAAACGATTTTTTGATTCTAAATAAAATGTTTTATTTTATGACTTGTCGCAAACATTTTAGGTGCAGATTGGTGTCAGTTAAAAATCGCCAAATCTGTAGCTGCAGTGGTGTTAATACCTGTAAATGATACAGAGAAGCAGACCTTGAGTAACTTTTGTTCTACAGATGGGATCTTCACTTACTGGGACTCCAGCTTAATGCTTCGGAGAGGTGATCTCAAGTAAGTTAATTAATTAGTGCAGACGTTATTTTAAATTAAAAAATCAGACACATCTCTGAATAAACATATTTTTTTCGATGGATTCGGATTCCTTATCCCCAAGATATAGGGGGTGACGGCAATTTGGAAAATATTGTCCCAATACTTTGGTCAGGAGAAAGGTCTGAAGTTCAGGCCTCATAATGTAAATTTTAGTTTTTGCTTATTTTACCATATCTCGAGAACTTTTCCAGCGAACTGAAAATATTTTTGAATATAATCATGAAATTTGTTTATCCAAAGATAATTCCATACAAAAAGAACTTTAGATAAATATTTATCATTTTTTATTATTTTAATTAATGATAGTCAATAAAATTTTGAATTGCAAGGTATAAAATTTTTCACATCATTTTAAAGAGTGCAGTTTTAAATGGCAAAAAAAATTGAGTTAAATAGGTCAAATAGTTCCTGAGAAATCAAATTTTGAATATGAGATTTTTTAAAACTTTATTTCTCAGGGACTGGTCGAACGATTTCACTCAAATTTTGTATTAATCCGCTATGTAAAATTGTATACTTTAAAGTGATGTAAGAAATTGTCTGCCTTACGATTCAATTTTTTTACTAAGTTTAAATAAAACAAAAAACTGATAAATATTTATTAAAAATTATTACTTATTACTATGTCTTTGAGTCTGATTTCGTAACTTAAAATATCATCGAGATATTGCATGCTTAAGGTAAGCATATTTTTTCATTCTAGTTTCGAGTGCCTAGTTAATTTTTTATTTATTTAGGAAAAATTCATAGGTCATGTTCAAAAGAAAGTATGTAGATTCTGCTAAGTTATTAAATAATGGAATACAAAAAACAACCAAAGAAATGCAGAGAAAAATTAATAGAATAGGGATTTCCCGATAAATTTAATGTTATATTCCAGTTTTTTCTCTAAATGTCTTTCAATCTTCCTTAAAAAAAACGGAAAATATAAGCACAATGTCAGATTTTCATGTTGTAAGAATGCAACGCATTTTGGCGCATTATTCTCCAAACTTTAAGTGATTAATTATGAAAATGTTATCGGGGAACATGAATATCAGCGTTTCCATATATATTTTAGGTTTTATTTAACGAATCGAAATATTAATTTTGAATTGTCCGACCACCCTCCCGCCCACGGACAATTCAATAGTAAACAATTCCAGAAATACCATTTACAGCTGTTGCAAACTACATAAGCGTAACACACAATTTTTTCTTCATTAAAATTTTTTTTCTTTATTAAAAAAGTAGCTAATTTTTCGCGATAATCCGCAACTTTTGCTGTTGTTGTCTTATGCCACTTGTTCAATACTGACAAGTGTATTTCAATTCAGAGGAGTGCGCTTCTTGTTTTTCAGTGACGCTATCTGTAGCCGAATTCGACTTCTGCGACGCACAAACGTTAAAGTCCGTTTTACAGGGAGAGAACATTCACACACTATTCATCCATTCTCAGATCTTAATTTTGTCCTGCACCAGAGCACCATCAATCTCCGATCCAGTACCCCCAGAGATTTAGCGTGCAGTAGTCACCATTTCGTACACATTGAGTCTTTGGCCGGCGGGGATCAAACACACGACTTCTTAGACGTGGGGCCCAATTCCCTAATTGCAAAGCTATCCCGACCTTTTTCGTAAATACTTTTAGCGTTAGTTTTAAGAGACAAAGTTCAAACGCAGCAAATTTTTCAAATATGATTAATGCATATCTTAGGATGTATCCCAGTATAATTTACTTTTTTTTTTTAGTTAAGTTAACTTAAGCTTTAAACTCTTAACAATGTAAAATATTTTACAGTTTTATAACATTTCTTGAAATGAATTTTCGCTGCTGCAAAAAACTGCTAAAGGCTTAAAATAATTGAAGGTTTCAAGAAAAATTTCGCAAAAAATTAATGTCACTTTTTATTCAGTATTTGGCTTCTTTCCGAATTTATGCAATCTGTTAAAATATATTTTTCTTTAATTATTCTCTATCTTATACCTTCACTATAGTCTTTTTTTTATCAACTACTCAATTTACATATTTAAATGATTCAGCGTCGACTATTACTGGACTTAAAAATTAAAATTTTTCAGTTTCCTTTTGAATTATTCTTATTACTTTAGTTTCTCATTTATTGTTTATAAATAAACCTAAACCATTCTAAAATTAATTAAAAATGTCAGTTTTGAAATCGCACCAAGAAGAATTCTGTTAACTGTTCATTAATTTCGACACACGTCGCTTCACTGCTATCATATATATTCTTTATTATATTTATATATATTTCTGTAGTATTTTGCAAACTAATAAAACTTTCCAGAACTTTTTTTTTTCACTGGGTGAAAGGTTTCGTTAAAATCAGAAAAATCTAAGCGTAAATTATATATTAAATTCCAAACTTTGTCCAATAATATTTCTGAATGTAAGAGTGAGTTGAATCGTCCCGCTTCCGAAATGGAAGGACTGCTTGTTGTTTAGAGTTCCGAAAATTTCAGTTTATCTGTTGCAAAATTTTCTTTAGAAATATTTTCCTGGGATTGAAGAAAGGCAGATGACACTCCAATTTTCACATTTTGTTAAACAGCCTCTTTGGGGATTTTTCCTGTTACTGTTTCGCTTCATTGGAATGGTTGCTCTTTCACTACTCCAAAATTTATTAAACAGCTAATGTAACTGTCCTTGATCTGCCTTTATTATCTCTGCCACTATACCATCACAACCTGCAGGTTGCGGTTGAAGCTTCACCACTTAGAGAATTTTTGCGATTGCGGTAATGTGCTCAGCCTTGCTCAACGGCATCTTATACTTCCAAGACAAGCTGTTACTCATCCATCTAAAGCTAAGCTTGCTTCCTGCTGCCACAGGGAATCAAATGTCAGTACTTCACAAGGAAAGCTCATTTTCCTCAATCCTCAATATCTGAACCATTGAAGTTCAATGTGTATAAACATTGTATAAATTTGCGTAAAATTGTTTTTGTTAAAATTTTAATTGTTAATATATCTATATATATATATACAACAAAATAAATAAATACAAGAAAACACGAAGAAAGTTATTGCGCTTAAGCTGCAAGAAAACAGAACTCATTAGATAAGTTCAAAATGAAGACAAAACAGAGGAAAATTATAGACATATGGAAAAAAAAGGGGGGGGGGGAAATAATAATGAAAAAAATAACAAACAACTGATTTAAAAAAAAAAGAAAAAAAGAATGAAACTTTTATTATAAAAAACCCGGAAAATAAAAGATATAATCTTTTTATCAGCCCCACTCTTTTTTGCTGATATAATTGTGTGGGCTGATGAAAAGATTATATCTTTTATTTTCCGGATATTTTTAAAAAATTTCATTTGTCTATAATTTTCCTTTGTTTTATCTTCATTTTGAACTTTATATATATATATATATATATATTTTTATTCAACTTTCTAATTATGTATTTTTAAAACTATTCAATTGAATTTTGTTTGATAATATAAGAGCAGATATTTTTTTCCAGTTATGTGTAATTAATGATTGCTCGTTTAGATTGATCATATTTTTGTTCATATTTAAACCGCTGATTGTAACATGGTCAGAAAAGCATGTTTTGCCTTGTGAGTCTCAAGATACACCACATGCATATTTTTTAATAATTTCAATACCTTCTGCTGATAGGAAATGTGTTCTAATTTGTTGCAATCTTTCAACTGAAATTTTCATCATGCAAGAAATGTTATTCTAATATAATAAGTACATTTTCGTTTAATGTATTACTAGACATTTATATTTGTTTTATGGAAATATTTAGATTAATGTTTGTATTTTATGAATAATATTAATGTTTGTAGTTAATTTATAAAAGAATATTTGTTTATTATGTGGAGAAAATTTATATTTGTTTTATTTAGTTAATTTACATTGTATGAATTAGGAAGTAGCAAACTTTTTCTAAGGCATGTAACTTTGTTGCCCGCATTTTTTTTTCTCAAATGACTATCTTCAGTATTCAAAACCAAGCAANCTTTGCTGGAAACAAGGTTTAGGTTGATGAGAAAACATAAAATATTATTCATGATCTTTATTTTTAAGCATGTAAAATACAAATGAGAACTCATGGAACTTTTTATCACACAATATTGGTGGATGAAAAAAAACCCCTCCAAATGGATGCTTTCAGGTCAAGATTCAGATATTTTCTGAAAAGAAACGAAACAAAGTAACAGTTTATTGGTTTTTTAATGTTTCAAATACTTCAAAAGCAATTTTATATTCCTTTGAGAAATTTTTTTTCTTTAAATACAAACTAACCCATTGTTGTAAAAAATCTCCCCACGCGATTTTCTTTCTCTAAATTAGATAGAGAAACTAGATTTAATGGCGGAAAGAAAGAAAAATAAGGAAAAGAGAGACAAATCTTAATATTCATATGGAAATTTTCAAAACATCAAAGACTGAAGGCAAATAAAAACTACGCTAAATATTCTTATTCGAATTGTTGTATAAGGTTAACAAGTAAAAATTATTACTTACTTATTATGTTGCATATTCTGTATTTCTAAGTGTAATTTTTTGATTGATTATTATTGACAGTTGAATACTTTTCAAATTTAGGTATTCGTACATTTCATAACGTTCAGCATATTAAAAAAATGTGTCTCTATGTATAATGAAAAAAAAAATAGTCTCATTTTGTGGTTAGACCGATTTATTGACGTTTTTATTTGATGGAAAATCACGTGGTAGGATTTAGTTTTCCCTTTTTGTTTATCATCATCATGAAATTAATAAAAGTTATAAAGATATTGTTTTCCCATAAAATATTGTTGTATCCCCAATTGAAAAGCATTTCCCCGGAATATTGATTTTATTATTCCTCTCTGCTATTAAGCTTTAGATTGTTCTCCAAATTAAGAGTTTAAAACTAAATGAGTTATTTCCTTAAGAAGATTACGGGCACATGCGACCCTTTGACGTCAGCGCGAGGTGATCGCTCATAAGCAAAATGGCGTGTTAAAGTTAAGCTAAAATTCTTCACGTAATTTAGAATATTAATTGACGTGAAGTTAATTAAATTCAGCGCCGTATTGCACATTAAAATTGATGAAATATAATTATTTCTCGTCTACGTCTTTTACTTAACTTAGATTTATTATTTGTTCATATATTTCATTGCAAACGTGTTATATTTTTGTTTTGTGTACCAGTCAATTTCAATGCATATGAGAATTAAATTATTTGTCAAAGAATTATTGCGAAGGAATAAAGAATTGGTCACTTAAGAGAATTAATACTTGACGGGCATGGTTTTCTCGAAATAGAAGGGAAAGAACAGTTGCTAACGTAAACAAATGCCACGTTTCAAGAACCAATCAGTATCGAGATACACACACTACGTCACTTATAGGTATCCCATTCTATGATATAATATTACGCTACATTTTAAGACACGCTACATTTTTGAATGAATGCCTAAACATAATTAATTTTTTTAATTTGTTTTATTTTCTTCATGCAAATCACATTAATATGGTATTATAAATTACCATAAAAGAGATTTGTTAATTGATAGAAATGTTAACAATGCTTCACGCTAATGGGATGATGTATGCAATATCGTATTTAATCTATCGAAAATATTAAATAAAGGTTGTCAAATTTTTTAAATTTTAAGTGTTATTTTAAAACATGATTACTGAGCTTTCAGTTCACTAATAATCGATCGATCACATAATCGAATCCTTGCAGTAGTCAATGCTACCACTAAAGTTTACATAAAATGACAATAATTAAATATTTTATAAACAATTTATCCTTTTTTTTATCGACTATTAAACAAAAAGAATTCCAGAAAGCATATAACCTTACTGCAACCTTGTATCGGAACTTTCTTTTTATTGTCATAAAAATATTTGCTCTAAAAACCTTTTTCAAATAAATCAAAAATATTGCAGTTTCAAACCTTTCGTCCTAAAATGATTAAAAATTATTTTTTAAAGCTTTTTTTAAAAATTATTGTCACTTGGGTCCATAATGAATGACGTTTTAGCTGACGTCACACTATCGATAGAATCAAATATTATTGTCCATTGAAATTTCATGACATGCTGGATTTTAGCTGAGCATACAAGACAATGCTAAAAGAAACCTTATAATTACCTAGATTTAAGATTATTTTCACCTTGAGACTAGCTTTATTCCATGATTTTTTCGCACTTGAAGACTCTAAGTCAACCTCGATTTAAGGTTTTTAAATAGAAGGTTGTTTTCATAGGTTCTGGATTAGGGTAATGTGCGTCCCAGGTAGCAAAGTAAGGTCTATTTTCACTCAGCAAAAACCCTTTAATGTAATCCTAAAAAGGTTTGTTATGCGGTTTACGTGTAAACCTTCTAACTTTAAAACGAGATCTGTGACAATCTGCTCTATTATACACACATTACCCTAATCCAAAACCTTGGAAGACAACCTTCAATATAAAAACCTTAAATCGAGGTTGACTTAGGGCTTTCAAGTGTGAAAAACTCTATTAATAAAGCTAGTCTCAGGGTGAAAATAATCTTAAATCTAGGTCACTATAAGGTTCCTTTTAGCAAAGTCTTGTACGCTCATCTGAAATCCGCCTTGTCTTGAAATTTCAATGGAGAATGCAATTTGATCCTATCGCTAGTGTGACGTCAGCTAAAACGTCATTATGGACCTAAGTGACAATACTTCTTGAAAAAAAGCTTTAAAAAAATAATTTTTAATCCTTTTAGGATGAAAGGTTTGAAGCTGCAATATTTTTGATTTATTTGAAAAAAGGTTTTTAGTACAAACATTTTCGTGACAATAAAAAGAAAATTCCGGACACAAGGTTGCCGCAAGGTTACATGCTTTTTGGGCGTAGAATAGAGCAGATTGTCGCAGATCTCGTTTTAAGGTTAGAAGGTTTACACGTAAACCGCATAACAAACCCTTTTAGGTTTACATTAAAGGCTTTTTGCTGAGGGGAAATAAACCTTATTTTGCTATATGGGAATAATGAATGAGAAACAACCACGGATATTGGTGAACGGAGCTTCCCAGTATTTTAACAAAATGTGAATGGTCAACACTTACGATTCAGAAGTGAGGGACAGGTGATGTAACCATTCTGAAATGTTATTGGCGACGATAAGAAATCAGATGGTATTGTGACCCTTATTATTTCTGCATGGATTTTAATTACTTTATCAGCTATCCAATCTTGGCAATATTTGAAATGGTCACGGAAGCATTCTTTAACGTCTAGAAAAGTTCTGAAACAAAAAATACATATTTTAAAATATATAGATAATGTAAGAACTAAAAATAAAATTTTGTATTTTGACGGACTGAACAAATTTAACATCGAGAAAAATAAATAACTTTAGTCCCTTCAGTGGAAAGATGGACTAGATGTAAATAAAAAAAAATACACGTCCCTTGGCGGCGTCAATCACGTGTTTGACTGTATGGCAGTAGCGCTAAATATTTACCTTTATTCGTTAAAGTAGATTCTAACTATTCAAGTTTCATCAGTGATTAAGATAAGTACTTTTTTCTTACATATTTTTTTTTGGGCCGGAATAGCCTGGTCGGTAGGGTGCTGGGTTCATGTCCAAGAGTTTGTGGGTTCGAACCCCGCCAACCGAAGACTCCCCGTGTAGCAAATGGTGACTGATGCTTGTTAAATCTGTCGAGTCGCGAAGTATTCCATGTTCCCATAACAAATCAATACCTGTGGAGATACTGATCGAAGAGTTTCCTTGTCTTTTGGATTGGTTCAAAATTATAAGACTACGTAGTTGAAAATTAGTAGTCGTAAACCCAAACAATTGGGTCGGCTGTTCATCTACGTAAATAAAAGAAAATATTTATGCTTTAATTTTTCTTTATTAGAAATCAGTAGTTTACATTTTTAAAAAAAATATGTTATTATTCATTACATTAAAATTTAGTAATAATACTTTTATTTCACCTGTAATATGTTGCAATATCCTTTAATGGATTATGTTAAACTTTATGCCTGAATTTTACACTATCATTTTATTTTTGTATATCATTGGTTTTATTCGCAAGTATAATAATACCAAGTTAATTAGTTTGCAAAAAAAGTGGCTTATAGCCATTTCAATACAAAAAAATAATAATTCAATGCTTAATTGTATTTAGTCTATTTAAAAATGTAGTTTTATTGTATTCTGAATCCATTATGCATTCATAACAAACAGAATAATTCCCCTGTTATGCATTTTTAGCATAATTCTGTAAAAATAAAAAAACGCAGAAAAAAATCCCCATAAGTGGCAAACCTGATCAAAACTCTGACAATCTATTTGTTTACTTTGACGGCATTTGAGTCTATGTGGCTTGCACGTGTCTTAAGCAGAAAAATAAATTTTTATTTCTTGGCGATATTCTGTTGTCAAAATTAAATTAAATTTGGAGTTGTCTTATTGCTCTTAAATTTTGTCTCTGTGACATATTTAAGGTATTGCGATTTTATCTTTAAAGAATTGAGCAGAGAAAGACGCGAGTTCGTGCTGCAACTTGTTGCGAAGAAATCTGCAAGCAACAGTAGCTTATTTATCGAATTTGCAGGAGGTGCTACTGAGCATCAAGTGATATATCCGTATTGGCACTTGTTCTCGACAACTAAAATTGCCAAGACACTAGAGGTTTTTAAAAATTGCAAAATATGTAGGGCTACTAATTATACCAATCCAGTTGATCTCCTCTTATGCCGCCAAAACATGGTGATCATTTTGGCGACGCTGCCAATACAGCAATGTTACTAAGTGCCAAAGTTGGAAAACATCCCTGTATACAAACATTTTTCAGTAAATATTAGTAAGCTACAAATGCATAAAAGCAGAAGTAACAGTCTTCTGTAAACAAATAAAATTATTATATGAAATTATTTTTTTAGACTTAAAACACACTTACTGTTTCAAATGCTCTTGTTTTGAAATTTCCAGGCCAATTGAATACAGATACATATCGTAAGTGCAATTTTTCATCATTTCCATATCAGTATTTAGAAAGCATTTATCTATTTTTAAAGAATTAAAAGACGGTTTAGCTTCAAATCATATGAATTATAATAATTACAAATCTTCACACTTTATGAGGACGATTTTTTCCATTATAAGTGAGGTACAATTAAAGTGATATATTTTTTTAAAAACTTCTTCAGCACTTAAAAACATTATGAATGTATGAAATTTGTATGAAATCAACTGTATGAAATTTGAAACATCTGCTTTAAAAAATGACGTAAATAACAGGAAGCTGACACTTATTTTCTAGTTTTTTGTTTAAAAAAAAATTAACTTCATATTTTTTTAAGAAACCGGACCGAAAAAAAAAAGATTTCTATGCATATAAGTGAACATATCTCGTTTTTATATCTGTAATTCCAATTTTTTTTCCTTTCAGCATGTTACTTGTATACAGCAATGTCGCCAAAAATTTGTCTTCTGCATTTTAGCATTAAAAATATTTAAAAAAAATTATGTATTAATAATAAATTATTCTACATAATCATTACTTTATGGTTTAGTTGTGTTCGTATTGATAAAGTCCTATGCGCTTATATTTACTTATTCGTTTATATTTACTGAAAAACTGTCTTACAAACAGTTTTTCAAAAGATATTAATTTACGAATGAATAAAATAAAATATGTTTTAAGGAAAAGAAGAGCATAATACGAGTTTATTTATGTTGTAAAAAAAAACAAAACAATTGTAATTCTAATAATGGATAAATTAACCTACATATGAAATGTATGATGTTCCCTTTTAACAAAAGTTCGTATGAAAACAAATTCAGTACGATAAACTATATTTTAAGATTTTATGACTTTAAAATTCCCACATCGATTTTCTTCCACCGAAATAATCAGGAGACGCCAAAGGTGGAAAATTTCTCTTTCATGTAGCCCTCCAATCACGCAGTTCCTTTTTGGGGATAAAAATTAAAATGCACTGTGTGCTCTACTTAAGTTACACCTCAATGGTCCGCATCTAGAGTGTTCCCCATGACTGCCTGAGCAACTGAATTGTCTCAAAAGCCCTATAAAATTACCCTATAGCACTGAATACTTTGTAGCCTTTTAAATCATGACCTATTTTCATAAATATAATTTATCAACTCCAAAAACGCTAAGCGTTTTTTTTATTTAATCATTCAGAATATAAATTTAAACCGGAGGTCTTCTGCAAATGTTCTTGTTGAGGGGTACTCAAACTGGGGGATCGATCGGAGGGGGTTAATCAAAAGAAGTAACTCACCGTACGAATCCTCCACTCTCCTTTCCTGTAAATCCACTGTAAGTGACGTACAGGTTTCTTAGCGGATTCCACACTTCCGTATCGTCTGGGGATCATCGAAAAGATCACCTCACCCTGCAGACGCTCATGTCGGTGGCACATGTACCCTCACCTTACGACGTTTTTTGATTTGATCGTTTAGAATATAAATTTAAGCCGTTGGTCAGTTAAAGGACTAGCAATTATGTTAACTAGTTCTAATAAGTAACAACTGGACTAACTTGTACACAAAACTTTTACCACTAACGCTTCTGATTGAGAAAAAAAATGCATTTCAATTTTAAAGAAAGGTGTATAACAGTCCCATAATAATATATATACATGTATACTTTGATTAAATATACAGATGTATACATGCATAGATTGGTATCATACATGGTATCAATGATACCATACATGGTTTCAATGATACCATGCATGGTATGCACATGGTGTCAATGTATTAAATACATGGTATCAACGTATTAAATAATTTAAAATAAACTTCAATATGTGACAATTTTTGACATGGTGAGCATTCTAATGGTTCGGAATGGAACTGTCACATGATGCTATTGATGATTAATTGACATTTGAGACAATTAGTTTTGGGGGGAAGTATTATTTCTGATTAAAATCTGCCATTATTAAGAAATTTGTAAAAATATAATGATCTTAAGGAAAAACTATTGCTCTTCTCTTTAAATTTGAAAATTTTAATGTTTTTAAATGTGACTTAACATGTTATAGTAATAGCTTTTTCAACTTTAAGTAAAATTCGTGCTATATTCTTATGTGGAAGGGGATACAAAATCATGCTAACTAAACTTTTAATTATAAACTAATAATTTAGAAGCCCCACTTCGTAAATGCTCGGTCAAAATGCTGCATTAAGAAAGTCCCACAGGAAGAAAAATTCTTGTTAAATCCACATGGAAATAATTCTAATATCGCAAGTCAAAAATCTTGGTGTGGAGGGTCAAATTTTTTGATGTAAGAATAAATATTTTTGTAATATTTGTACAAGTTAGTTTTCATATAAAAATCGGTCTTATTTTGAAACTCATAACGAGAGTAAAAACAAAAGAAAAAGATAAAAAAATGGAAGAGGATATAAATAAACGGTTAGGTGCAATTTTCACTGGAAAATAGCTTTTTTACTCTCATCAAATTCTAAAAAACATTACAAAGTTTCTTAACAGACTGTACTGCTGACTAGGAAAAACTAAATACATCAAACAATATTTGGTTTTTAATATTTTTCAATCAGCAGCACCATCTCTCTGGAAAAACTTTTTAACTTGTTTCAAAATTTGATGAAAATAAATATATCTGCTTTTTTGAATAACTTGCAGGTAACCGCACATTCCGGACTTCTTTCGTTTCTTTAAAATTAATTGTTCGAATGATTGGTCATTTAGAAACCCAATATCAAGACTACAAAACAACAAGCGTGCAGCACGGTAACCTTCTATACTAAGCTCCTTTCCGATGTTAAGTGAATTGTTTAATTTCTTTTGCAAGTTGTAAAAGCATCATATACTCTAAAGTGATGTTTTTTTTAGTTTAACGGGATATTCGGTATTCTCTATAATGATTTCTTTTTTTTGTAAAAGGTCATTATCCGGCATATACTTGTCAGGTTTTCCACAGATTGATGCCTTCTTTGAGAAAAAGGGTCATTGTCTGGCATTTTCTACTCTGATACTTAAGAAAAAGGTTTACACTGACAATTCAAAGCGTCAATATGTATTTTCATGCATTTTAATGTTAGCAAAGTATTGTTTTCAATTTCCAAATTTTGAAATCAAATTTGTAATCTGTTGTAAATCTGGTTTCGGGGTAATGTAGATGTGCATTCTTTACCTTTTTCTTCTTCCAAAAGATGTGGGACAATTCTCTCCTGTAGGAAAGGATCTTGAAATCGAAAGGCTAATGCTACACACTTGTTGATTTGTATTATTACAATTTAATATGTGTTAAAATTTTGAGGGTACATAATCTATCTAAAAAAGTTTTATCACTTGTTTCTTTGGACAGTCGGTTTCTCGTAATCTTGTTCATTCTAACATCTTCAAAAAATTTGTTGGAATATTTATATTTTATTTTGTTGATAGTGCTCTTTTTGGGCAGGTGATAGTAGCCAATCTCATCAGATAAAAAGTTCTTTCCTTCCTGTCTTCGTATATCTTCTATAATATCTCCCCTGTCATTTGAAATTAAGTTCGAATATGAACTATTTTCTGTTAGAATGTTTCTGATGTTTTCAAATACTTCATTTGAAATTTTTTCAAGTTCGGAATATCTTTGTATATGGCAATTTGAAGGGCGAGTTTTTCCAATGCAATACGTAGTGACTTTCAGAATTCTGAAAAAAGAAGAAACTAATTTGCATTGGAAAACTTGCAAGGGCTAAAAATATTCAATTGAAGATAGAGTATACTTTAGTCTAGGTATGAATACAGCAAAACAAGCAGTTTTATAAAGAAGAACATTTGTTCTGAAATTCAAAATGATTTTTGCTATCTACGGAAAACGCAAAAGAGTGTGATTCAAACACAAATAGAGGCAGAAAAATAGACATCATATAGTTTCCGTTTGATAAACAAGAACCTTCTTTAGCGTCGAAACACAAAATGATTTGTGCTATCTACGGATAACAAAAAAGAATATGGTAATTAAGTTTTAAGAGACATAAAACTCGTGATGTAAAAATTTCAGAAACTCTTAATTTGAAATTTCATAATAGATTTTACAAATTGTTTGGCTCTTATTTTGAAATCGACCGCAATTTAAAGGAATTTCTGATGACAAACCCTACAAAATTACATAAAAATATGTAATATTGAGAAAGGAAAACATAAAAATATACCAGTAAGGATCATCCTTGTAATCCACTATAATAATTCTAAGTAAATGGTTGTTTAGGTATTGGGTATAATATAGCCTACGTCACGGGTTGTGTTGTTCCTACTAAATTTAACCCAAGAACGGCATTTTCTGCGAGCCTAACTTCAAGCCACAAATAAACAAACGAAGTGTTCGATCGTTTAAATAGCTGCTCGTCAGATTTTATTGCATTATAAAGAAAAGTTATTGAAACTAAATACAACTAAAACAACAACAACTAAAACAAATAACAACAACTACTAATAACAATAACTAACTAAACAACAACTAAATTCCATTCGTTTAGCATTGCGTCATATGTTGTTCCTACTAAATCGAAGTAGTTGTGTTTTTTTCATATTATACCCAATTGTAAGTTCAGTAAGAGCTAAATCATTTCTAAGACGCCCGTTGGAGCTTCGCGCTCCCATGTCATAGATGCGGGGTTCCACTCTCGGACCGGGAGAGGTCGACTCAGTTTTTCCTCCCTTCTGTGTGTCGATAAAATGACTATAGTACGGCTTTGAGAACTTCTTCAGACTAAAAGTCTGGAACTGTCTGCTACTATGGTAACAAACGAGAGCACATTTCTAATAGGGATGAAATGGAGGAAAGAAGGCGTCGGTTTACTCACGACGACCTACGAAAAAATGAAGACAAAACTTTTCACCCCACACCCTTATTCGAAGCGACTTTTCCTCGTAACCATAGAACCCGCCATGAAGCGGTACTGGTGTCTGGAGGAGTTCTTCTGAAAGCCGCACTATACCAAGCATGCTTGGGGACTAAACACCAGGGGCTCCTTGTTTGGTCGGCAATCCACTTGGAAACTCTGCTCCTGAGTCTAAGGTCAAGAAACCAATCAAATCCAATGCTCTTGAGAACTTTTATAATTGTTTCTTTTTCAAGAGTGAATGTTCTCTTTATTTATCGAAATACGTCGCCAAGTCTAGGATTCCAGTAAGACTACGAAACTGTAATCTTTTTATAATAATTATGTGACATATATCGTAAAATACCTCGCGAATTAAATTCTTGGCTGGCGAGTTTAACTATCAAAAGCTCTTATATTGTTAAGCATATTTATAAAATTTGATAACTAAATAAAATGGAACTATATGCAGTCGCGAATGATTACTTAAATCTTATACCGCTATGGTCTTTTCTTAGCTTGTAGCAAAGTATAGTTTAGTTTAAATCAACTCTAGAAGACTCTTTTAAAATAATATTTAATGTATGAAGTTTTTAAAATCGGCACAAATATTACATACCTTCGTAATGAATTTTCTTGAAGTGGTCTGATCGTGCGGAAAATACATATATTTATATCCTTAATCCAAATCCTTATATGATGACTTTCACACCTACTAATAGGGTCTGAAAAAATGTAAGTATATTACATGGAACTAAAAGAGACTGAATAAATAAATAAAATTAATTCAAAATCTGTACAGTATATAGTTGGAACATAAATGAGCTAAATACATGATATAGTAAAAGAGTTATATTTTCTGTTAGGTGTATCATCATACGCTTGGTTTGAATGTAAATATTAGAAACCAATATTATTAGCGGCGAAACAACTTGGGTCTCATTGGACCAAAATTTACCAATCTTGGCTCAATAAGTGCTCAAAGGGGGCCATTATTTTCCAATATTGATCCTATGTAAAATTATCTGATTCATACGATATTTACAGTCACTTTACGAACGATATCGATCCATTAAGACCAATATTAAAAAATCTAGACATCCTAATATTGGTTCCTCTGTGCATAGGACACATATTAAGCCAATTTTGAGCCGCATTGGGTACAATGTGAAATTGTTGTTAGGGCCGTAATATATGATAGTTTTTAACAATTTAAGGCACTGTAATTTATTTTCAATACAAGAAGTTTAGAATACAGTTATAAAGCTTAGACCGTGTACTTGTTAGAACAAAATTCAAATGCCATTTTAGCTCTTTTTTTAACCTTTTGGCGCAAATAGACACCTTTTAATGTATTTTTTTCAGACGCTCTATCTACAACAAAATTGGATTTTGATATTTTATTTTGGTAAAATATATTTTGGTATATAATTATAGAAAACAGTTCAATTGTTGCTTAAATGCTTAAAATAGCTGTTAGATTATCGGAATTTCATTTGTAGTAAAATATAAAATAAAAAAAGAAGTTTGAAAAACAAAAAAATTTTTTTTCATGCGTATTCAAAAATTTATCAATGACTGATTTTGTAAATTAAAGAAATTTCAACGACCAATAACTGTTTCTCTCAAATCTAAATAACATTCCAAATTTTCTTATAATTTCAGAAAAAAATAGCGTGGATTTTTATTTTTATGTCATTCGTTTGATTTGTTTAAGGATTTTGCAAAATAATTCTTTGGAGAATTTAAAATTTGTATCTAGAAATATGCTCAGCAAAATTTGATAAAAAGAAGCATAATCTCATTGACAGGAAAAAGTTTTCTGAGTTAGACGCCAGTTTAGTTTAACTAGCTATTTCATAAAAAATATAAATTTAATTAAAATGTACAGGGCTAAAAAAAGCGATCATATTTAATAGCATTGCATCTAGAGATTGGATTTTTCACTTGTAAATATCTATATTAGTGGGAAGAAATTTTTTTATTAGGAAAAAATCACGTTTTGTTGCTGAATTTCGTAACTTAAAATAGCGTTTGTATGAATTAATTATACTATTTTGGACTCTTGAGTAATTAAGATTGATTCCAAGTACGTGAAAGTCCGAACATTAGACCGAAAGTTAATGAAGGTTTAACTTTTTTTCTACGCACCTGTACCCACTTTTTTAAAAAAATAATGAAGTTAAAAAATGGAACTTACGAACATTGAGAATACTTTTGTGGAAATTTGGAAGATCATCTGGAATATACAACTCCATCGTTGTAACTCCATTCACAGCCATAATCATTGTCTTCAATAAAATTTCAATTGCTTTCTTTGGGCAAGAATTCAATGGCTTCCACAAGCATGTAATCATTTCACTGCAAAGGAGAATACATTGTGATAATAGCTTAAAACGTCTAATTTTATTTTATTAATTGTATTGCGCTTAAATAAGTAGCAATTGAAATATGAAATTGACTTCTGACAGTAACTAATATGTTTAGTTTTCATTACCTCAAATAAAGTCACATGTGATTCAATCATTATTATGATGAACGATAGAAGTAATCATTGGCCATTGATATTTTTCCACAATCTAGTCAACCATTTATTTTTGGTTGTCCTCGCGATTGGCGACAGCTTCCACAAGTGAACAAAACAAAATGGCCGTCACACAGAACTAAATAGAAAATGTTCATTGGGATATATGCACTATAAATAAAAGTTCCGATTTTTTAATTTCACTTAATTTCGATTTGTTTTGTTTTGTATATAATCTATATATAACCTAATATGACCTAACTTCAATGTAAATTAATTTTCATTTTTACGGTTTTGAAACCCCTCAAGTTGTAAATTGGTTAAAAAACGGCATAGTTTTGTATTCATTGTTTCTTAGCCATTCCAATTGTAAACGGTTTCAAACACGTCAAGGTCCCGCGGTGGACTGATCGTTAAGACACGGTTCCCAGCAGATCACCGAAGTCAAGCATCACTGGCTGCGGTTAGTGTGCGGGTGGGTGACCACTTGGATCAGTCTGCGTAGGGACCGAGGGTGTGNACTCCATTCACAGCCGTAATCATTGTCCTCAATAAAATTTCAATTGCTTTCTTTGAGCAAGAATTCAATGGCTTCCACAAACATGTAATCATTTCACTGCAAAGGAGAGTACTTTATGATAATAGCTTAAAATGTCTAATTTTATTTTATTAATTGTATTGCGCTTAAATAAGTAGCAATTATAATATGAAATTGACTTCTGACGGCAACTAAAATGTTTAGTTTTCATTACCTCAAATAAAGCCACATGTGATTCAACCATTATCATAATAAACGAAAGAAGTAATCATTGGCCAGCCCTGATCATTGGCCATTGATATTTTTCCACAATCTAGCCAACCATTTATTCTTGGCGACGTGATTGGCGACTGCTTCCACAAGTGAATAAAACAAAATGGCCGTCGTCACACAAAACTAAATAGAAAATGTTCATTGGAATATATGAACTATAAATAAAAGCTCTGATTTTTTTTAAATTTCATTTAATTTCGATTTGTTTTGTTTTGCTTTGTATTTAACCTATATATAACCTAATATGACCTAACTTCAATGTCCAATTAATTTTTATTTTTATGGTTTTTAAGCCACTCAAGTTGTAAATTGGTTACAAAACAGCATAGTTTTGTATTCATGGTTTTTTTAGCCATTCCAATTGTAAACGGTGTCAAACACGTAAAGATCGAGAAACGTTCCTAACTATAAACTTTATGGTTAATTTCATTTACAGTAATTTTAGAATGAGAATTTATAACAGTGGAGTAAAAAATATTTTTTTAATAAAATGCAATTTCCCAAAATTGATATTTTATTTTTAATAATTTATATTAAGTTCTTCATATTGAGAAAGTTAGTGAGTTCTTCATATTGAAAAGTTAGCGTATTTAAAAGTTATTTAAAGTTATGAGGAATTTTTATATAATTCAACACATAAGTGATTCACCGCTAAAATAGATTGAATTTTCAAATGCTCACATTAAGAAAAATCTAAAAAAACATCTCGCTAAACTTTCTTAAATTTGTTTTTATGTAAACTCGGTTTTGATTAATGAACTTGTATCAGGATTTGGCTGCCAATCGTCTTCTTGCGGTGGACATAGATTTCCTTTAGAAACTAACTTTAAAAGGCAAAAAATAAGTATCTGAAACTGTCGTTAATAAAAGGTACAAAATCAGTTATTACTTATGAACAGAAGTGTTACTAGAATGATTTCGTGTACACATCGTATAGTTGTTGAGTAAATCATAGCAATGTTCAATGCCAGAATAATTCAGAGATTTCAAACAGTTTCTTGCTTGATTATAACGATTCATTCCTAAAATAAACATCAATAGAAATTGTAGGTGTAGAAAATACACATGGAGACCTTATTTTTTATGTAAAACCAGAATGACTTACATACTTAAGGATAAAAAGTGCCGTAACGAAAATGTTCTGATTTGGAGTATGAACTTCTTGAGGAAATCTTTGAAACTCTTGTCACTGTATGTTACTGGTTCAGTGGGTGCGTGTTCTTCTATACAAACAGAAGCACGTTCCAATATCCTGGAAATTTTCAAAAAATTTTAAAAATCAGATATACTTTGATTTAGATGGTTTCAGGCAAATTTCATTGGTTAAAACACAATATTATAAAATTAATATAGTATAATCACTCCAAATAAATAAAATATAGGGTCGTAATAATGATTTAATATCGCATTCGGCGATTTCAAAATCTAATATATATATTTTAAACAAACAAAATAATTGTGCATAATGCTTGTTGTTTCTAAAGACACTTGGACAAGTCAAGCAGACATATTCACACACCATCCTTCCATCCGCAGATCGTAATTTTAACCTAAACCAGAGCACGATGAATCTCCGATACAGTAGCCCCAGGGGAGTTGATTTATTATGCGAACTTGGAGGACTTTGTGACCCCGACATATTTAGCTTGCATCAGTCACCATTGCCTTCGGCCGGTGGGTACCGATCTCTCGACCTCTTGGACATGGGCTCAACGCCTCACTAACTAGAGTATGCAGGCGTAAGTGACAGTTGAAAAATAATTAAGGAAATTAAAAAAATGTGTCGTTTTTTCCGCCCTAAATGCTTGGATATCGTGAGATTAAACGCAACTGGCTAAATTAAATGAAGATCATGTTTTGATAACACCTAAAGCGTCAGGTTTAGAAACATGTTATAGTAAGTTTGGAACTTTAATTTAATCTCGAACCATCAAGATTATGTTCGAAGTATTTATTTATTTATTCATAACCGTCGTTGAGCAGCCGACCCAATTTTGGGTTTACGACTACTAATTTTCAACTCCGTAGCCTTTTAATTTTGAACAAATCCAGATGACAAGGAAACACCTGGATCAGTACCCCCAGAGGTATGATTTGTTATGGGAACATGGAGGACTTTGTGACCCCGACATAATTAACATGCATCAGTCACCATTTACTACAAGGGGGAGTCTTCGCCCGGCGGGGATAGAGCCCACGACCTCTTGGATATGGACCCAATGCCCAAGCAATCCCGGTCTATGGTCGAAGTATGAGAAGATCCGATCATTAAATCAAAAATAACTCAGGGTTATATTTTGGTTGTTGTTGCTTACTATACAATCTCAAACTGCCGTCCAAATTGACTCGTATAATGTTTTGTTAAGTAGACTTCAATTTTCAATAGTTTTTCGCTTAAAAAGTAGAAATATTTTTGATCAATGTATTCATTCTTAAAGAAAATTATAAGCCATAGCTTAAAAAAACTTACTCAATTGAAATAGCTTTGGCATTGGAAGCATCCAGACTATTCAAAGTCATCAATTTTCCTCTGTGGCAATTTTTTATAGAATCCAGAATGTTGTCTAATTGATTGCTGTTTGTTTCATGACTTTCTAAAAATGTATTTGGTATTAATTAGACATACAGGGTGTTCGTAGACACTACCCTTACTACATATTTTTAGAATCCTTGGCAAACACAAGGACAATGTTTATACAAATGAGGGTTAAATATAAATATTTAAGAAAGGAAATAATATTAAAATTAATTTTTAGGGAATCATTTGTAAAGAAGTCGGTGCTGAAAATCTCAAAACCTTCTGCATGTCAGACAAAACCGAAATAATATTAAAGGCAATTAATAAAAACATAAAAATCAGATTCATCTAGAAATGAAACTGATTTCCATGGTTTTCATCTCATCCTTCCTAGTAAGGGATTCGATAGATTTTTTATTTTCCCCTTGTTTAAATTCTTATTGGTTACCTTTAATGTGTATAGTTCGTATATATAATCTATTCTCTTTTATGCTCATTTCTGTAACTTTCAATTCATTTCTGATTCAGAAGTTGTAAACTGTTTTTCTTCTCTAAATAGCCATCTTATAAAAATTTGAAGAAAATAATTAAAATTAAGAGAGAAAAGAGAAATTCAATAAACGTAAGAAAACTATCGCTATAAACAAACTTTAAATTGCCAGAAGCGAAAAGTATGATGGAGAACACGGAAAATCACCGGTGCCTTTTAAACTTGCTGAATATCCAAATCCGTTACCGAACAGCCCACTTCGGTGACGAGCTCGTCATCAGTGATGACCCCCAATCGTCACCGAGTCAGTAATGGTGACCCGAATTATCTCGTTTATGGTCTCCCTGTACTCTTTTAAATAGATTCTAAAAATAAATTTTAAGGGTGGTCCTCACGTGGCATCCTGTTTATGAATTCAAAATATTTTAATGTCTAAAACCAATGTTAATACGAACCTTTGCTATTTTTTCCCCTTGGAATCGTGGAGGACTTAGCTTGACGTTTCTGACCTATTGAACAAAATTAAAAAATTAAATTAATAAAGCTTAAAATAAAAACAAAATATAAAACCCTTAAAAATAGAAGTTCAATACAATTTAAAAGTACAAAGTTTAAAATTAGCATGCTAGATAAAAAGAAAATTTGAATCGACCTTGAATTTTTAGAGTAAACAACAGGGCTTTGAATTGTAAGTTACAATTTTAAAGTTACAATTTTAAAGTTCGAGCTAATAAATTTACTATTTTACTCTGCCGAACCATTCCTCAGACACAAGGGTTTCACAAGTCTATAGAATCTATACACGGTGTTCCATAAAAGTCATTACTAGGATAAATTTGTTTCAATTTTTTCAAACATGAAGTCGAAAAACAATTAATTGAACAAGAAACATGAAATCGAAAAACGTATTGGAGATCACGAACTTATATTCAAGTGCAGAAAATAGAAAAACGCCTTCGAAAACCAACGAATCACTATGGAGAAAGGCGGATATTAAGAAATTCAAAACCTACTAACAAAACATGGAAACACAGTATTTTGATAGGTGAACTCTAAAAAGACTATTTATTCCGTAATCAAGCAGGTTTCGGTGATTTTTATCCCGTTATTACACATTGATAGCGTTTTTCCTTGGTCTCTGCTTTGAGGCCCAAAATGTTTATTACCCATGCAAAAATGAGTGTTGTTATGGATTCGATGGCGTGCACAACTTATTTGGACGTCATCACACTTTTCAACTGTGTTCAAGAGTAATAGTAAACAGTGCACATGCGTCGTCATTGAATGCGTTGCTATGGCGATAGCTGCTGTTTGATAATCTTTATAGAATTCTCTTTTTCACTTTTAATTTTGTTATGCATTAAGTTGGTGAGTTTATAGCAAATGGGTAATTTTTTTAAATTTGAATTTACGGATTTAGCTATAATATATTGTTGGTTACTTATTTTATTTAAAATCCATAAAATATTCTTTTTTATGTTATAATAATGCAACAAAGTTTGGCGAGTTGCTTGGCGGCTATCTCAAAACTAAACTTTTCACCAATAGGAATTTTTACATATATAAAAATAGAAATTTATTTATTTTTACATAGTTTTTGACAAAGTCTCAAAAAAGGTATATTAAAAGCAATGATCAAAGAGCATCCTCCATTTAATGCAAAATTGAAAAGATTGTAAACGGGCAATTTTTTCACTTCATATTTAATAAATGTTCCTTGATTCTCTTTATTTATCTGCATTATTTTGTTTTTAACTAACATAGCAACACTACTTCCTTTAAAATTACATTTCTCAGTATGAATTTTGTGTTTTTTTGGGCACAAACAATTTCTTTTTAGATATTACCACTGGTTATCCGAAGGTATGTATTTGGAAAATATTATTGTTTTTTTATAAGAAAGCATGAAGATTTGTCCGAATTAAAAAAAATTATGTTATTTAATTATTTTATGAAAAAATGCTGGGAAATATATTGAATAAATAAGTATATAAACAATTTCTTAGGTTTTAACTACAAGAAACAATTAAATTGGAATGGTTGAAATGAAAATTGTTTTATTTGAAAAATAAATAAGATACTTACGTAAGCCAAAATCATCAGTGTTATTACATGAATAATTATCTGAAAAAAATATACGGTGAAATGCATGATTAAAGTATAATAAATTTTGGCATATTTATAAGGTAAATTAAATAAACTTTTTATCGGTTTATAAGTCTTTTTCTGTAAGTTTAGTATAGAATTAAATTGATTGAGTTCAGCCTCAAAAGAGCTAGTAGCGATTACACAGCGCCGAACTCTAGGCTCACACTTGGGATGAACGGTGCTAGAATTATGAGTGACATAGAAACAAAAGGGGCAAAAAAATGCTAAAGGTTGGGGTTTTTGGAAACTTTTTAAATTAAGGAGAAAGAAAAACCCAAGAAGGCTGATTTATACTTTGAATTTTATACATTTTTAGTATAGTACTGCTTAATGTGTGCAGTATATGGACGCCAATGCGTTCATTATTCATATTTCCTTAAGAGTTTTTTTTCAATAATTGTAATTTTTAATATTCTTTTATATGTTAGTAATCGTATTTTCAATATTTTGAGAAATATCTTTCCAGCCCTCTCTTCCCCCTACAAAATATTCATAATAGTTAGTTTTTACGCGGGATCCAAAATGGGTTAAAGTCACAAAATGTAATTTTGTTACTTTAGTCTTCCTTATTAGTTGCAATGAGTAATGGTATTTCACAAATTACAATAATAGAGCTGTTGTGGCTCTGGGAAGAGAGCGTTCGCCTCCCAATGGGGTAAACTGGGTTCGAATCCCAGCGATGGTCGATAAGAATTTCGAATCCAGCTTTCACGACCACAGTGTTGACTTAAAATATCCTCAGTGGTAAATGTAGTGTTAGATCATGGGTTAAACTTCTCTTGCTGCCAGACTGAAAGTGGGAGATATTCGTGGTTTTCCTCTCCATGTAACGCAAATTCGTGTTATTTCCTTCAAAAAGTCCTCCACGAAGGCAAATTTTCCCCAATAATTGATCCAATCATAACCTCCAATTTTTACCCAAGTTCGCATTAGAGAATTACTCTGTATGTTTAGAAAATATGAATATACTTACAGTAAATCTCTTTGGTGAAGTTTATCACACTGCTAGGTATACCTTTACCAGTCTCTGTAATTGCCCGAATTCGAATAGAGCAAAGTCCACAATTTTTAATTCTTATCATTGTGTTCGCTGCCTTAGTTTTTCCAATAGGGTTCCATTTCAAATCAGAATCTTTATTCGTTTCCACTACATAATGTGTCACGTTGAGTCCTTCACTATCTTCCGGAGGGTTCCAATTCAGGAAAACGTATTCTGGACAGCCTGATGAGTTTTTCAATTTTGCTTTAACTATTTCTAGATTTCGTGGTGGTCCAGGAAAATCTAGGAGTAAGAAAAACTATATTCATCCTCTTATATCACATGTTTTTTTTTCTTTCTTTTTTTGCTGTGTAAAATTCTTTACAATTATTTAAAAGTAGAATATAATTGTAAGAAAGTAATTAAAAAGAAACCCATTTACCATTTCTTAAGTTGCACGTAGATAAAAATACAAATTTCAGAAGTTTATATAGTTGAACTTTAAATTAGAGAAATGCTGTTATTATTTTAAAATTTATTTCAGACATTTCAATCGATTCAATTTTTGAGGAACCGGAATGTTAAGCTAAACTCAAACAAATTACGTTAACAAATTAAGTTAAACAAATTAAGTTAAACTAGAGGGCTGCGCCCCCTGCTCGCTAACGCTCGACAACCCCCTAAAATTGCTACGCAATCTTATATGGTTTGCTTCGCAAACCAAGCTCGCTTGGCTCAGTGCATTGCAAATGCACAAAATTCTAAGAATTCAAAACAATCATTCAAATCCATATAACAACATTTTTTTTAAAAAAAAATTACATCTTTTTAGTAAATGCTACGTCATTAAAATAAATTTGATTTCAAATAAATGACATGTAATTCGGTAAACCTATTAGAAATGTGCTATAGTATAAAATCTTAAAGCGTAACAGCACGACTGAGACTCATTTTTCAACGAATAACTAATAACAATAATAAAACATATAAATCCGTGATATGAATAAAAAATTGTCAAATAAATTCGTAATTTATAAATTCGTGAAAAAAAGCGCTTTTGACAAAATACTAAAAATAGAGATCTATCGACAATGACTACTCACTTCTGCCTAGCTTAAAGTTATTTCAGTTTCCGTTTTTAAAAACGCTATATGTTGAGTCACCTCATCTAGATTTGGCATGTGACATTTTTAGCGGCAATTATTGGTCGATTTTCTAGCGTTGCCATTCGGGGAGTTGTAATGAGGCTTTTTTTTGTCGCCGAGTAAGAGAAATATATATATAGATTCAGCAAAGTTACGTTAAATTGAAACAAATAAATGTTAAGTAGTTTTTTATCTAAAAGATAAAAAATTTCTTAACATTTATTAAATTAATGCCGTAAGTAAAAACCTATGGGATTTAATACCGGAAAATAATGCGTTTTTAAGCTTAATTGAAACAAATTGTAAGAATTTTTTATTGTAATCTGTGATTTAATAGCCATCTATAACAGCAGCTTTCGCCCATCTAGTTTGCAAATTTTTAATGCCGGGTGGACAAAAATCAATTAAGCAAAATATCTGAATATGATATTTGAAATACCATCCAAATTTTAAAATTTTTTGCCCCCTCAGAATATGTAGTAACGGCTTGGAATAAATGGAACTATAATTGCTCTTCCTCTCACCATACCCTATTTATCTTTCCAAGGGTTTGATTTTCTTAATCTAGGAGAGTTGAAAAGATCAATATAACCGAATTTGAATTTAGAAAATCACTTTCGGTATTTAAGAAACGTCATATGCGCTAGGATGAATATCGCGTATGTTTTTGGTAGTAATCGTTGCTCTATTACATTTATGAAACTAAAGCATACAGTTTCGCATACACTGCACAAAAAAATTTATGAAACACTCTGAACAACTTTTTATCTAATGATCGGATTTTCACTTAGTAAAACTAAATCTTAATTATTCAAGATGGCGACTTCAAATATTAGCGCAGACGACAAATTAACGGAGATGGAATTTTAAATTACGTAAAACAAAAATGTACTTTCTCTGATTAAACATACCGTCTTTTTTGACGGATTTGAATCTTTCACGAATTTGAATCTTTGGCGGAATTGAATCCTTTGTCCCAAACGTTTGATCAGGAGAGCGATCTGAAGTTTGGACCCCATAATGTTACTTTTCGCCACATCTCGGGAACTTTTTAAGCGAATTGAAAAATTTTGGAACTAAATTATAAAATTTGTTTAGCTGAAGAAAATTCCATTAAAAAAACTTTTAGTAAATATTTCCTATTTTTTATTATTTTATTTGGTAATAGTCGAAAAAATTTTGAATTGTAAGGTATGCAATTCCATACATCATTTTAAAGAATGTAATTTTACATGGCAAAATACAAAATTTGAACAAAATCGAATCAGTTAGTCGCATATTTAAATTTCATTTATAATTCGTTCAAATAAAAAAGTAGTTTTTAAAAAAAAATTTCGATTCTTGACCGATTTTAAAATTCTATATCATTAAGATTGAGACCTATAACGTGAAGATCCGAATATTTAATCAAAATTATTTAGAATAGAACATTTTTTTCTTCTTGCTCACTGAACTTCTGCAGTTTGACTCTCCATTAGTCATAAGTCACAAATGATTTGATGGCATGATTTTGATGTGCACAACGAGCTGATAAATGGCAAATGAATATCTAAATATACAGAAACGATGTTACTTTCAAGTTCCTCTAACGTATTTTTACGAACAAAAATTATTGTCACATATTTTGGAGTTCCGTCTATACAATTCCGACAACACTACAAAATACCAGGAGTCAAAACTTTAAAAGAGATAAAATGAGAGTAATAATTAAATGTTAAATAAAAAATTTAGTTCCAAGAAGTTTATAATATTCTTAGCGTATATGATTTAGTAAAAATGCTATTGAGTTAAGAAAAATGTTTATCATGTAAACGATTATCCCACCTTAATATTAGTTTTTTGGTTTACCATTAATGCAGGATAATAATATTGAAGAAAAAATAATATAGTCAATGATAGGACAAAAAGAGTTAAGTTACAAGGAGTTAATTGTAAGATGTTGTTGTTGTCGTATCTATGCTAGTGCAAAGATTAGAGTCCTCCAAAAGTCTTGATAACAAAATTTGCAAGTTCTGGAGCCCGATGGTCATGGAGAATTTTGATGGGAGGTGCTCCAGGTTGAAAGAAGGAGCCGATAATGGCCTGGCAGCCAAAAACATAGTAAAATTGTAAGATATTATGTGCTTATGCGCATCGTATTTTTTTTTTTTGTAAAATAATTTACTTATTATATGTCAGTTGGTAGATGGCAACAAGTAGAGTTTTGTGGTTGCCATGGTGATAGTTTTAGAATGTAAATAGTTTTTGAGTGAATGTGTAAGATTTTTCTTTGGAATGGCGATGCTGTCATTTTGTTGTTGAATTAATAAATCTTCCCTTTTATTAAACGCAATAGTAGAGTCTCCTTAATTATTTTATTCGAAATCCTTTGAGTTTTATTTGAGGTTATTTTTAATTTTGAATTTGACATAATTCAGGTTTTGGCTTCCTAATATAAATTGAAAGAAAAATACTATATGAATCAAAATTTAATTTCGAAAACGTATGAATGCCTTAAATGTGGAGAGTAAAGGTAAGTTATTTTTTATTTCCTTAAATAATATTTTAATAAATTTGCAGTAATTTAAATAGTTTAAATTGTTTTTTTTTATTAATACTCAAAAAGTAACGTCGATCCCAGTAATAATCACCAACTTGGCTAGGTTTCAAAAAGTCGCCAAGAGGTGTGCTATTCAAGGATTTTACTGTAAATATGAATTCGTGGCACACATAACTGAGAAAACATAAAATCGATTCTCATGAGCATATTTTGAATTGTTATAAGTCATCTTCGACAGGCAACTGGTACTGGCAAATCTTATCTGTCAATTTGGTTTGTTAAGTAAATAGTTAATATCATTTGATAAGTTATTTAAAATGAAAATTTACTAAACTATAGGAAAATGCGAAATGCAAAATATTGGATATGCATGACGCGATAAAGATGTTCAAGCCAGAGGTTATATCACTGTTTGGAATAAATCAATCAATTGTCATTTGCACCATTTCTTTTGAACGATTCATATTCACATCCCAAAAGAAACGTACTCAATTGATTGCTACCTGTAACTATGATTGATCATTGATAAATTACCAGGCGAGGGAAGTGACGTCAGCTTAGACATCTCTATAACGAAACGTATAAAGATAAGAAATTCTGATAAAAATTAGTTCAATTATGTCATAAGAATGATTAGGTTTAATAGTTCATTCTGAGATTATTTGGCACGTTTAGTTTATTTTGTTGAATTTTTTTAAAACTAACAATTGTGAAATTTATACTACTATTTTTACACTAGTTTGAATATTACAAACGTCAACTAAGGACCCGCAATGGCTCAGGGGATAGAGCGTTCACCTTCCAATGAGGTGAACCGGGTTCGATCCCGGCGATAGCTGGTAGATACGAATTCCGCATCCGGATGCACCGACCACAGTGCTGACGTGAAATATCCTCAGTGGTAGACGGATCATGGGTTAGAGTCCCCTTGCCGTAAGGTTAATCGTGGGAGGTACTCGTGATCTTCCTCTCCTTGCAACGCAAATGCGAGTTAGTTCCATCAGAGAATCCTCCACGAAGGCAAATTTCTCCTAATACTTGATCCAGGAGTTTCCTTATCTTCTAGATTGAGTTTAAAATTACAAGGCTACGGAGTTTAACATTAGTAGTCATAAACCCAAATATTTGGGTCTGCTGTTCAACGACGGTTATGAAATAATTTAAAATATAAAAAACGTCAACTAAGGGGCCGTGATAGCCAGGTTGGTAGGGCACTGGGCCATGTCCAAGAGCTAGTGGTTTCGATCCCACCGGCCGAAGACTGACCCCGTGAATGACTGATGTCCATTATATCTGTCGGGTTACAAAGTCCTCCATCTTCCCATAACAAATCATGCCTCTTGGGGTACTGATCCAGGAGTTTCCGTGTCTTCTGGATTGGGTGCAAAATTACAAGGCTAAGAGTTGAACATTAGTAGTCGGTGGGTCGGCTGTTCAACGACGGTTGTAAAATAAAATGAAAAAGACTTCAACTAAACTCACCTTTTAAATCTGCATCTCTAATGATTTTACTTGGTGGACCTAGCCCGTACTTGTTCACTGCCAATATTCTTATTTCACATGGGCATGGTCTTCTATATCTAGCTCGATTACGGGTAACATTTTTCATATGTATTTCC